TGTTAACCGAGCTGCCGATCCGTATGCCGCTTCTTAAAAAAAATTTCGCCAACAAAATACCTTTGCGATCAAGACGCGGTCGACGATGTAGTGCTACTGCTGCTGGTGGTGGCGTTGCTCCGCATACTGCTTCGAATACCGTCGCACCTAGACATGTGGTCTTTTAAATTGCTCGTATTTCCACAGTGTGCATATTCTTTTTCACAATACGTGCACTTAGCTTTTGTATCCTTTTTCTTAAAATATTTCCCCACATCCGATATTCTGGGCTTTTTAACTTTTGGCGGCGAAAGTGACTCACCCTCGTCAATGCTAATAATGTCGTCCATCTTTAAAATAGTTTCATTTGTTAATTGAAATTATACAGAATGCTTATTTAATTATGTATGCACATATTTAATTCCTTACCGTTTCAGAAATCAATACGCTTAATCACAAATTCAACAAAATCACAAGCTTACGAACAATTTGAATTCCGCGTAAAGGAAGAGAAGTGAATAATATAAACATCGATAGTTCGATAGTCGCTGGACTATCGATAGTACCATCGATAGTACCACTCTATCGATAGTGGTGTCGATAGTATCGATAGTTTTCCAGCTCTACTGGAGGGCGTACGACAGTCTCAACGACCACGGTTACGTCCATTTGAACGTTAACCACTCCGAAAATTTTGTCGACCCTGTGTCTGGTGCCCACACTCAGAGTATTGAAAGGAGTTGACGTGAATTTCGGTTCTCTATCCCAAAGTATGGTCGTGTGGACGCCAATTTCGATGGGTACATAGCGGAATACTTATTTATACGCAAATATTACACTATAGGAGAACGCATACACCAAATTTTCAAACAAATTGGAGTACTGTACAATCCTAACAAGAATTAATATAACAGCACTTTTATTTTCCATATTAAGTTTCTTTTATTTATCGAAGTATTGATTTTTATGGAAAAAGCGACGCAGGCGAAAATTTTTTATTAAATATTTTCATTATTTATCGAAGTATTGATTTTTATTTATATATATATTAAACGAAAGAAGATACCGAAAAGCATTGAACAGTGCACACATCTCATAAGGAAAAGTGAATTATTACGAAATACTAATACAGTGGCAGCACTATAGCTATTTTGGAATCTCGCGTTTCAGCTCGCAAAGATTGTCAACTTCTTTTTAATAACAAAATAAGCTATCTTAGTTTGATAAAACTATGTTTTTCTTTAATAAATAAGTTAAATTATATATTTTAATAGTGTTTAAAAAGTGTGAACAGGTGATTTAGTGAATCTTTATCGGTGTAATTGCCCATCGAAAACAACGAAATTTAACAAAAGTTTTTTGTTCATAACTTTTAAATGGTTAATAATATTATCTCTCCTCCTCCGGATTGTTAATAGGGGGGCCGAAACGCGTCGTTTGATACCCCTCCCGACTTTTCCGCACCTTTTTTAGGGGTTGTTACCGCACCCTAGAGAATTACCGTTAATTAACTCGAAATAAACGAGCGATAAGATTTCTGAATCCAACTTAAAGCTGCTGTGTACTTTAAAAAATAATAATACGTGAAGTGCTAAATCAAATAAATAAAAAGAATTAAAATGAAAAAGAAAAGTTTCCAGACTTATATGAGTCTTGAAAAAAATAAATTTTTAGAAAGTGCGCGGCGCTTTAAAACGGAATGCGTTACTCCATCAAGTGAATCAATTATTGCTGATCGTTCGGTAGTTTCTGCAACAGGAAACATTTCCTCTAGTGCTCCCTCATGTTCTTGTGATCAATTTGATAGCTTAACTTATGACGAGGAAATGCGCCCACTTGTTTCTGATGAAGTGGCGAATAGTTTAGATTTTCAGGACGAAACTAGTAGTGACACTTCAGAAGAATTCGTAAATGATACAAATGACTCCGTTCAATTAATAGTGATAAATGTAGTGAACTAAAAGCTTGGGCCATAAGAAATAATATACCCCAAAATGCCCTAAGCGATTTGCTGCAAACCTTGATTAAAATAGGTAATAAAGATATACCTATGTCAGCTAAAACGCCTTTAGGAACATGTCGAGAGAAAGTTCAAAAACAAAAGTACAAAAAAGCTACAAAAACTGCAAAAAAACAAAAAACAAAAAAGCTACAAAACTGCAAAAAACCAAAAAAGCTACAAAACTGCATACTCGAAAATTTTCTAAAAATTCCGATTAAAAAGTTTTCTCCATGACATTATATCCGAATAATTAAAATAGATAAATATTAAAACTATTAAAGTTATCTCTTTATCTTAATAGGTTGTGGAACGGAGTGACATGTTGGCCCAAAACCACCTTATTAGGGAATGTAAAGTGATGCTGAAAAAGGTTCACCAGTCGGTTCGTTATACTACAACACTACTATAACACTACAATTGGGACGGGCGATGGGAGAGGGAATCGTTAGCGCAAATGAAATTAGTTGACGAAATCTTATTTGGTAATTAGTATTTATTTAATTTTCAAAGTTACTTGATTAACTATCATCTTTAATTCTTTTCAGACGTATTTAAATTTGAAGGACGATTACCTTTCGAAAAAAGTGTAAAAAAGTCTATCGACTTAGCTCACAACCGGCTGAAGCAAAAAATCCGACTAACGGAACAAAACTAAAAATAACTTCAATTTTATTTTATTAACCATACTACTTTCATATTTAGTATAGTAAGTTTAGAAAGTAAGCTATCGCATATCAACGCGATTTTTTAGAGATTTGAAATTTGCTCATTAATATACTAAAATTTAATGGCCTATAAAATTGCATACCTGGAATCTCTTAAGAAATTCGTATTAAAAAGTTCGCGAATTTGCTGAAACTTTCCACATTTTTCTTAATTTTTGTACACACTATCATTCTTGGATTTAAATGGAATTTGCTGAAACATAAGCCATATTTTAAAACAAAATTAACAAAAAAAATTACCATGTAAAACATTGCGAATATTAAAAAAAAAACCTACGCTCAATTTTGAGAGTAACCGTACATGTGTTGTAAAGCGTAATACCCAGTATTATTATTTTTTACTTTTTATGCAACAAATTGATTTGAACTGTAAAACAAAATATTTGTTGGCATGCTAGTTTGCTTTTATTGAATTCACCATTTGTGTTCCTTTTTGAGGTTTCTCTTTTTACGTGCCAATAAAAATGTTAATTTAAATAAATATAATTGGTTAAATAATTTGCAAAGATATATGGTGGTAGTCAAAACCCAATATATTCGTTAGACTTAACTAATTTTTCATATATGTAATACTCCTATATTGGCAGTAAGAGCTAGTACCGTCCGAAAACACTACAGTACAGATATATCAATAAACACGTACGAAAGAAAAGGAACACATACGTTTATAAATAAACATGTACACGACACATTTACAAAACTGGCACTCAAGTACACAATACATTGACAAAAACAGTACTAGACTGTCTCGCTTTGATTTCGGAATGCTTTCACATTGAGATGTTAGCTTACTATCAGTATTACATATATGTAATTTTTACATTTTTAATTCTTTTACTTTTAAGATTTCTGGTAGTCCAAACAAACATATACCAGAAGTCTAATCAATATTTATGGTAGGCCTAACTGACATATACCAGAAGTCTAACCAATATTTATGGTAGGGCTAACTGACATATACCAGAAGT